ATAGCATTTTATATTTGCATATAAGCAATCAATAGATTATTCACTAAAATAGACCAAAGTTATCTACTTTTCAACCACTCACCATATCATTCTGTTGCCTAATCCACGTAGCCATCTAAATATGAAATAAAAGCTGTATTATTCTTTATAATTCTCATAAGTTTAAACATGTGGATAATTTAAATGGGCTTCCATGTATTTTTATTCCAATTTATTTATTTATTTTTTTGAGACGGAGTCTTGCTCTTTCACCCCAGCTGGAGTGCAATTGCATGACCTCGGCTCACCACAAACACCGCCTCCCAGGTTCAAGCAATTCTCCTGCCTCAGCCTCCCAAGTAGCTGGGATTACAGGCACCTGCCACCATGCCTGGCTAGCTTTTCTGTATTTTTAGTAGAGATGGGGTTTCACCATGTTGGTCAGGCTGGTCCTAGAACTCCCGTCCTCAGGTGATCCACACACCTCGGCCTCCAAAGTGCTGGCATTACAGGCATGAGACACAGCACCTGGCCTCAATTTTGATATTTTTCTAAAGACCCATTGCCATGTGCCAATACTCTGCCTGTTTTTAGTTGTTTTCTGTCAGAAATCTATGTTCATTCTTTACATTTTACATGCAATTTTTTTCAGATTTTTGCTGAAAACAATTATTTATAAACTTTCTTTTCATTTCCTTCACATATACTTTAAGTAAAACAAAACAGAAAAAACAACAAAACCAAGAAGACCTCTGTTTTGCATATTTCTACTTTGTCCTTATTCCTTGAGCAACTTCCATCCTAGACAGGTGGATAGCAACAGTCACTGAAAGGCAATGACTGGCAGAATTCCACAAATCAAGTGACTGCTGTATGAAGGCAGAGGCAAAAGACTCCCTTTTACAGTTTTCTGCTCTCAGGCATCGAGTAGCGACTCTGAACTACATATTTACTTTATGTTAACAAGCTCCAGCCCTCCTGTCATTTCCTCCTGTCATTTTAAGTAGCTTCCCAAATGGCAGCTTGATCAAAGCAATCTAATATGGCTTAAGTGCCAGTGGTTGACATTTTGCATTTTTTATTGCCTTCCATTTTTATCTACACATAAATTGGTGATAACTAATATCCAGTTGATCTTTTCATTCTGGTAATAAAATGATAACACAAAGATCTTATTATCTACTCCAGACACCCATCAAAGTACATTTTTCAATAACATACTATGCGAAGTGTTTCTTCCCTATACCCAAGTCAAAAGCGAGGTTAAGTACTTGTCCTTAGATGCCCCATTCTCTCCAATACTTGGGCACTGGACTGCAAATAGAAATTGAACTTCAGCCCTTGATGCTTTGTTCACACTAATGTTATATGTAATTTTGTTGTGTCTGCCTCTTAAATACATCATTTTCTGTGAGAAGCCAAAAGTACTTGGAAGGTCTGCTTAAATATTTTTTTTAACCCCAAAGAGTTTTTATTCTTTTAAGAAGACAAGAAAAAAGATAACCGAAGAAACAATACTGGAAATGGAGCAGTAAGAAGAGTGAATCGTAATAGAAAGAAAGGAAGTGCAGGTAGGTGCGAGAAGAGACAAATGTAATAAGGCATAAAGAAAGCCAAATAATGCAAACAAAACAAGCCCCAGAGATCATGAGTTTATTAAATCAATTTCTATATGGATGCAGAAGTGTCCCTGAGGATGGGTGTGGTGGATCACACCTGTAATCCCAGCACTTTGGGAGGCCAAGGCGGGCAGATCACCTGAGGTCAGGAGTTTGAGACAAGCCTGGCCAACATGGCGAAACCCCATCTCTACTAAAAATACAAAAAATAGCCAGGCGCGGTGGTGCACGCCTGTAGTTCCAGCTACTTGGGAGGCTGAGGTAGGAGAATAGCTTGAACCTGGGAGGCAGAGGTTGCAGAGAGCTGAGATTGCACCGCTGCACTCCAGCCTGGGTGAGAGAGCAAGACTCCATCTCATAATGAGCAACAAGAAACTGAGATGAGTCTGGGATTGTGTGCAGTCACACTCTGTTTGTAATCTGAAAGATCAAAACATACATTTGGCAGTGAAATGGCCATTATTCACAGAAACAGCTTTTTAAAGAAAGTACCCTATCTATATCTGAAAATAAGCTTTTTTATTTTTAAATGAAAAGAGGCTCTCTTCTTCCATTTAAGGATGCTTGACAGCTTTTCTTCCCAGGGGAAGAAATGGTAGCAATAAGGAATCTGACAGAGATGATACTTGGAATTCAGATCTGCCCTTTCTCAGAGGAAATTTTAACAAAGGGCTGTGCCCTAGCATGTCCATGGAAGACTCTGTCACTGCATCTAAACTACTGACACAGGAGTGGCAGGAAAAGAAACATATCTGCCATCTCTTATAGTCCTGCAGATTTGAATACAGAAACCAGACCCTCTACCCTCCTCACCTACCACCCATTCTTCACTGGCAAAGATTAGACAGTCTGACACTATGTATATTTTTCATATAAAGTACAAATGCTGTAAACTCGGTGGTGGGGTAGGGAAAGATAAGATGACTACAGGAAACAGCAGCACAATTTTAAGTAAAGGTAGAAAGGTGTTTCTGGGGAAGTTTCCATTCAAGCTTAATAACTTAGAGTTTAATATTAGTTTTTAATGTAAGATAATCTTTTATGTTTTACTTTGTATATTTCTTGTGATAATTTTCTTAAAAATATATCAATTGAGGTATTTCACATTAATTTCACAATACAGTTGATGTCTTAGGTATGGTACAATTTTTAGAGATAATGGTGTTACCGGCTGCTATTTAATAAATGTACATTAATTTTCTCAGTCTCAGACAAACCTATGGCTCACAGAGGACACATGTAATAAATCAGTCTTTCATTAAACTGCAAGTTATGCTGAGATACAGACATTGTTAATTTAGTTTTTATTGAGTACAAAATGCACTCCAAGTAGAAATCACTGCTCATTTAATCACTGTGTGTTAGGTTTGCATTATCTGGAATGTAAATTCCTCCCTTTCCTCAAAGGCGAGTCTTTTTTATGGAACTTGGGTTTCTTACTACACCTGCCCCCTATTCCCCGAATAAAACAGAGACAAAGGAAATGAAAATGTTACCTGTTGATTGAATGTTCTTTCCAGTGACTGCTGTCAAGTTAAGGAATGTACAGTCCTGTCCGATGTGTACACTGGAAGCTCACAATCATTAATTGAATTCAAGTATCACATACTCATTAAAAAGGGAAAACAATTCACTAAACAGCAAAAACCTTTGTCCTCAAAGGTATTATTTTGTGGAATATCCAGAGGAAAAATAAGACTATCCTCAATACTAGAGTCTCATGATATAAGCCAAATGGCAAACGAGTCTAACAAGGGTAATTATACTATAAAGATACATTTAAAAAATCATTGATATAGCCACAGAATCCAGAATAACATGTTATTTGAATAATTTTCATTAATTGCTATAGTTTACAGAGTTACATTTTGTAAGTTCAAAAAGGCATGCTTTGTTGCATGCTTCGCATAAACAAAATAAAAAGAGTACATAAGGTAGAGCTCTAGAAAGGAATATTGTCCCCACATGGATTTGCTAAGATACAGGAGAGATCAAGAAAACCTATAGCTGCAGTAAGACACAGACATGGCTTTGGCAGAGAGTATTTTGTGAGTTGCCACTTGGCCTGCATCTATGTCCCAGAGCTGAAAGCAAACTGGACCTGGTATTAGATGTGCAAATTGTGTATTCCTTTTAGGAATGCATGGAGGAGATAGAGTTGGAGAGGACATGACATATCTTTGAAAAATTCTACTTACGTGAGAGCTTTGACAGTTTATTTTCAGGAACTATTTTGTTTGAGATCTTTTTAAATGCCTGGGATATTGGTTATAATTTATTAACTTAATTTTTAATAAGTCATCATTCTGTTATTTTTTTATTGGTGTGACTGAGCAAACTCATTTTAATGTTATTTTAAAAAGAATATTAAATATATATGGATAGAATTATGAGTTGTAAGAGGCACAGTGTTTGAAACAGTATGTATTTTATTAGAAAAATGGTCTTGTTTTTGCAAGTTTAAGACCTCTGTTTGTTCCTCAGAGGATGCCTTATTGCCACTTGAAAACATGGCCAATGCTTTAGGGACTAGATTCCATCAACTCACATTCAGCATTGTTTCGATAAAATAAATTTTAAAATTCTTTATTATGACAATGAGAGATTAGAAGTTTGTTAGAACCATTTTATTTAAATTGTTCATGTCTTTGTGTTGTGATTATTGGAGATTTCTTAATGTGATCAGCACAACCTGGAAAGGAAAAACCTGAGCATTTATGTACAGAAATAAATAGGTTTACTCTTAATATAACACTACAACTCAAAATAAAATCACAGTCCTTTTATCCTTTCAGATTTTCGTCCAAATTCAAAGAAAACTCAGTCCATGCATCTTTTCAGACTCATCAGTTTGCATGCATGTCACAAATTTGAAGGGTTTTGGTTATTTTTGCAGAGATATGATTAGGATGTAAAAATTCATCATATAAACATTCTTAATGATCAAAGAAGAACATTTTAGACAAGTAATTTTTTTATGTCTATGTAAAACTTTAGATGGGTTTAATAGTAACTCTCGAAGTAAGAGGAATTAACATTTTTTTTTTTGTATTTGAGTTAAACAAGAACCAGAATATTTTCTCCTATTTAGTTATGAAGAGAACAACTGGAGTCCACAAATGCCACTTGCAGTATCTAAAGGTCTATAAGGTGCTGGCACATTCTGTTACAAAACACTTGTCACCTCTTTTTCCACATAGAGGTAGGAACTGCAGTGGGAAAGTCTTCAGCTGTACAAATTTTTAATGAATTTTTACAACCCAGATGATGGACTGGTATACTTTAAAAGTGAGTTCATGAGTTTTATAAACACATTTCTCTTGCTCTCTCTCTCTTTTTTTCTTGACTAGCTTACATCATAATGGAGGAATAACATTTTAAAAATTTTGAATAGGCACTTACTGGAATTACAGTTAATCCTGATACAATCTAGATGGGGAAGAATAGATGAAAAATGAAAATTCATCCTTCAAGGTAATAGCTGCAGACATCCAATAAAATTACAGTCCACCCTTCCGGGGACAGACACATGCAAATATGGCCACTCAGTATCATTATTCTTTACATACTTATAAAGCCCAGGTGTATTATTATAAAAGTTTACCATTGGAAACAACAATAGAAGTTTTTAAAAATGGCCAATTCAAACAAAGCTACATGGTGACAAATCTAAGTGAAGTAAAGAGTTGTTAAATGTCAAAGATGTTTGGCTTAGACTGGCTGCAACTTTCTCCCCATCTGTGAAAGAACATATCACTGTTTTCCGCAAAATGTAAAAGTGCTCCGTCACAATGGGGTACAGTGCAGGTTCAGCTAGGCTCAGGCATCTTGGACCTCTGAAATCTAATATCCCACAAAGGCCAACAGAATCCTTCAGAATTGCAGTGGTCAAATGGAAAGCAAGTTAAAATTATTCTTATCTTGCTCTAAATGTTTTTGTTTTGTTTTTAAATTTTATTTGCTTGGGCATAAAAAGGTAACTGCCAGATGTTGGCTGGATTCCATACCTTGCGTTAATTGGAGGAGGAAAGAAACAACTGTATGATTCCTTTAGAAACTCCAGTGGCTAAGGAGCAGTCATTATTCAAAGCACACAAGCCTATGCCTCTCTTAGGAGCTAACAATGCTATCTCTATATAATAAGTGTCATAGTTCCCTTGATTTTCCTTTCTTGATTTTCCCTTTCTTATACCTGCTTTATATAAAAGCAGCTACTATAAGAACAGAACATCTGGTATGCGTAACACAAACTGTAATTATAGCGTTTATTTTTAAAAGACTATGTAGGATGTTTTCTATTTATTTTATATATATTTGTTGGTTTGGGTTTTATTATTTAATGCCTTTGGGGAACATAAAAAATATAAACCTAGATTCTGTTTCCATATAGCTGAGTTTGTCATGTGTCGTCAACCGCATCAGAAAAGTGGTTGCAAACAGCCAAGGACCAGCACCTACACAGCTCTTTCTACAGAATGCTTTGCTGTTCGAAAATTCTCATGAGTGTTTCCACTTTGACTAACAGCAGCTTTACTGCATGCAATTAGGCGATTTGTTTTGATCGGCTTGTAATAACCTGTCATTGTCACTAGAGGGTACTCTAACAGAACAGTAAAGGAGAGTGCTCTGTGTTCTTAAAGTCGTATTTTTTAACCTTATTATTTAATTTCACTAATGTTAATTAAATATAATTATAGGCAATAAGATACCAATGGGATAATTTTATATTTTATGAGTTATCATTCTGCCCAGCACAATTTGAAAATGTAGGTGGGGTTTCCACAAATGCCTTACCTCATCACATTTTATTACTCTTTTTTTTTAGGTAAATCTACGTAGTTTCAAATTTTATTTTTCTCTCTCTGTTTATTCATTTCTATCTACGTGTGTTTAACACTGCCAAAAATACAGTAAAACCTCATTAATTTTGACTCCTCTTATTTTGAAACAGTGATAACACTGCAAATTTGGGCAGAATATTAATTCTTCCTTTGATATGAGCAAAACTCTCTTAAAAAAAAAAAAAAGTTAAACTCATAAACAAGATTTTGAAAAGCCAAGTTTGGGAAAACAACTGATTTCCAGTACTTTATGTTGATGGCACAGTTGGCATGAAACAATGTGCTAATTATAATTAATTCTTATCCAACCACTAAAATCAGCCTAGACAGTCCTTTCCTTGATAAGACTTTCGAAACTATTATGATTTTGAGTATAATTTATAAAAAATAAAAACTGCTTAAACAAATTTTAAAATCTGCAATTCAGACTTTTTCCTAATTCAGCCTGGTTTTTCTCCATAATTCATCCAGATTGGTGAGGTTTTACTGTAATGAGTCTTTCTTAATGCTACAATTAAGCAGGAAAGCATTATCTCTCTGTAGAAGAGCCTGTGTCTCTAGTGTTCTCATGGCTGTTTGCTAAGGGCCGCAGACTTTGGGCATTGAAGGGTTGTGGATCGCTATTTGATAGCAAAATACCACTACACAGTACTCCAAAACAGAAAAGACGGGGTACCACAAAGGTGACTATTCAAAGGAGAAGCCCATGGAGTCGAGTAAGAACAGCTGTTGATCTCAATAACAAAGCAGAAATTTGATATTTTGTGCAAATCTTTTCTAAATAAACACGTTTTTATTTATCTGCAAAGATGTCACCTACAACCAATCTAAATGTTAGTGAATATATCAACAGAAAATTCAGCCTGAGGCAACCTCAGGCTTAATCATTTACATTTTCGATTAACCTCACTGACAGACATGGCTTCTCTTTTAAGAACCCTCAGTGGTAGAAATCACAAAACAGTAAGTTATGTTAAACATAAAAAAAATAAAAAAATAAAAAGATGCCCCCCAAAACCTAAAATTACTTTAAATGATGGAAATAAGACCATTAAATGTTTTAATTTTCCATGGCAAACAGGCTACTTGATCAATGTTTGCAGGCAAAATTGAACAAAAAGTAAAAAAGTGTTAGTTCAACGGGGGAAGGCAGGTTGTTACCTAGATTGACCGTCAGTTTCACACGTCCTGCATCTAGCTCCAGGCGGAGGGTGTCAGCAGAGTCTCTAGAAGTGGTTGCCATCAGAATGCCATATGCACGCTGGGATCGGAACCGTAAGGAAACATCCTCAGCCTCCGTGTGCATGACTACAGGGAGCTGAATTTTCATAAACATGCTCCCATCATAGCTCAAAACCGTTGCCTCTAGAGATGGAAAATGAATATAATAAGTTCTTGGATGGTAGAGTGCATTAATACTTTAATAAGGAAAAGGATCATTTATTATCACTTAAGACTTCTAGAACAAAATACTACAAAATCAATTCATCTTCTTCAAAAATAAACAAAACTGTAAGCTGGAAAAGAGGTCAGAGTAGAGGACTTCCCTTGTGAGATATTTTCTAAAGCCCAGAAACATAGATATCATCAGTTTCTTTTCTTTTCTTTCTTTCTTTCTTTTTTTTTTTTTTTTTGTTCCCATAGCACTTTCTACTTATAGCATTAATCATGTTGAATTTTGAGGGTTTGATTATGTGTCTCCCTTCTCAAAAGCAAAGATCACGTTCTTTTGTACAGTCACAGTGTGAGCCTAGTTTGAAACACCAGCAAAGTTGCGGATTTTTGTTGTTGTTGTTGTATTTGTTTGGGTTTTGTTGTTGTTTGTTTGTTTGTTTGTTTGAGACAAAGTCTCTATTCCCAAGGCTGTAGTGCAGTGGTGGGATCTCAGTGCAGCCATGACCTCCTGAGCTCAAGCAATCTTTCCACCTCAACCTCCTGAGTAGCTGGGACCACAGGCACATGACACCATGCCAGGCTAGTTTATTAACACTTTTTTCTAGAGATGGGTCTCCCTTTGTTGCCTAGGCTGGTCTCAAACTCCTGGGCTCAAGTGACCCTCTCACCCAGGTTCCCAAAAGGAATCTGTGCCCAGCCTCCAGCAACTTTTCAATTCATGTTTATGTACGGTGAGCCCACTGACCAGTTCTGTGAAATTGGTCAACCTTGCCTGGGCTCTGAATTATTCATCTGCACAATAAGAGGGTACTGCCAGAAGATTTCTTAGGGCTTTGATCTGTCCTAAAAACCTGTAGTTCTAGGAGAAGTTACTATCATCATTTTTTCATAATCTCTGCCCTGATGGAATTATTTTTAAAAGAAAAAAAAAAAAGAAATATGGCTTAACTGTAGGAATTGGGCCAGTACTTTACCAAAGGTGATGTTTGAAAAGAAAAAAGAAAAACTGATATTACCAAACAACAGACAACGCTTCTTTTGAGCCATTATGTTTAGCAAGGTAATTTTTACAAAGGCTTAAACTGTTGCTTCCTTTTAAGGTTAATTTATAGAAGGGGAGTAACTTTAAATATTATCTATTAGCACAACCCTGGTGTCCTGAATACGTTGTCACCCAAAGCATAATGATGTGCCTTTGTTATACTAAATAAGCATGGGGGTGAGACTGAGGAGCTTTTAAGGATGTTTGTTACTAAATCAAGGTAGATGACATCAATAGGGAAGTTGCTTAGTACTGTCTTAAAGACACAAAGAAACGAATAGAAAAACTGTTGATGACAACCTGATGGCTTTAAGAAAGAGTCAGGACTCCTTAATGTTAAGTACCATATGGTAGTGGAATATTGCAAAACAAGCATGAATCAGTTTGCTTTCTCATTGGTTCCAATAACTCAGGATGATACTTAATAAAGAAAAAAAATACCTGGAATTAAAATGAACCTGGAAATTCTCATTATTTTGCCTACTTACACAGCATAGCAATTAACTGTACTGATACAACTGTGTTCAATATTGGGACTATATTCAGAGTTGTGGTTTTGCAAGTTTATCTTTCAGAAAGTCAAGTACTGTTTCTATAAGACTTTAATCATTATTTGTTGTCATTCTGGGATTAAGTGAGCATCCAGAGCCTCTCCAAGCACTGACTGTTCCAGGTCTCCCTGCTTAGGTTAGCTCCCTTCTCTTTTCCATCTACCTCTTTACTTAAGAGATCTCAGTCAACTCATATGCTCACTCCTCTAATATTTATTAAGGGTTCTGACTTCTCTCCTGAGCTCCAGCATTCACTGCCTATTGGAAATTTTCAACTGGAATATTATAGGTACCTTATTAAACTCTTAATTCACTCCCTTCAAAAACGAACAAACTCAAAACATGCTCCTTCCTCAGTCTTCTCCATCTCAGTAAATGTGATAAACCCATTGCTCTGACCTAAAGCTTTCTGATTCCTCTTACTCTCTCTGCCATGTCCAATCCATTTGCAAGTCTGCAAGTCCTACAGGCTCTAATTCCACTCCACATTCTGAATTGATTGCTGCTCACCTGTGCCACTAATGTCCCTCAGACTTTGCTCTCATCTCTCACCTACATCACTGTAGTAGCTTCCTCAACCGTGTTCCTACCTTTTTTTAACCTATAAAGATCAGTGTGACCCTGGCCCCAGCCCGTCTCTCTGGCCTCAGCTTTAAGTATGTCCCCTTTCTTGCTCAGTGAGCTCCAGATACATCAATTTCATGATCTCACTGAAGTGTTTGCACTTTTAGATCCCTCTGTTGAAAAATGTTTCACCCCAGATCTTTAAATAGCTGGTTCTTTCAGCATTCAGGTCTTTGCTCAAATGTTACTTCAGAGAGGCCTGCTATCCCCTCCAGTTATTCAATAGATATTCACCATTTCATTTTGTTAAAATGATCATTTCTTGCTTGTATAGTGTTATCTGTATTTGCCCTTTAGAATACAAGCACCTTGAGGGCAGAGATCAGTCTCTTATATGCATTGCTCTATCAGCAGCAAGTGCCCCCATGATGCCAGGCCCGCAGCAGAGCCTCCATAAATATTAATTGAATCAATAATTGCACACACACACACAGTGAGCTAATTTCAATTTGAATACCAAGCTTACATAAATGCTCACCAAAGAAATTATTTATTCTGCTTATTGCAAGTGAAATCTAATTTCAGTAATGGGCATGAACAAAATATTTAATAAAGTCCACTTTGAAGGCCAAAATTGGGCTGCAGAATATAGGCTAGGGAAGTGTCTATTTGCTAAAATAGGGGCCTCATGGTTAGGCAATGCCCTAAGCACTGATAAAACAAAATATGGTCTTTCAAAAATATAGTGGTTCTATATCACATCATATTTTTTTCCAATTAGGCAAGAAGTTTCTCAAATGGGAGTGAAATCCCAGTGGTCAAAGACCAGTGCAAATAACCAAATTGCTGTTGTTCAAAAAATAATTAAAACCTGAGTGTAAAGCTATAGTGAATTCTAGAGAGAAAAATGATCGTGGTATAATTTTAAAAGAAATTTGATCTTTACTTTTGTTTTTCCTAAACTAGACAATCATGATCCATACCTGTAAAGCAACAAGTACCTGAAAAAAAGGGTTAAAGCCATTATCATGTGTTCAGTTACTTTGGTATCATACAGATAAAATGATCAAAACAGTGTTTGTTTTCTCCTCTTTAGTTAATCTGTACAACTAGGATCTATTATTCACTAATCATATTTTTGAAATAATCATATTCTTCTGGGAAAATTAGCTTAATTTGATTGAAAACTAAATCGGGGGCACCTCGTTTTAGAAATACAGATGACTGACAACGGATCATAAATATAGTGGGAAATACAACCCAGAGAAAAAAATAATCAGAATCATTAGCCTTTAACATTCTCCAAAAAGCTGCAGGACTGAAATAACATAGTAAAGTAATAAAACTTGAGTGCCCCCGAGTGTCATTTTAAATAATTCTCAGTGTGAAAATAACTTGTTGATAAATGACAAATGAAAGTCTAAATGATTCCTCATAATTAGAGTTAATGTTTAATTAGACAAGAAATGGAAAATGCACAGGGTTGTAGTCTAGAGTTGCCAAATAAATGGTAAACAACATTCTGACATTTGAAGGTTATGCTATTTGCCAGCATCCTTGAACACTAGTAAAATTATTTCATCATTTAGAATATACAATAAATCTTTAAAAGGCTAATTCTAGTATAATACTTCCCACTGGGGGAGAAAAACAGTTTCAACTTTGTCTTCTATATCTCCTTCTCCCTTGTCATTAAGTTTGATAAATTTGCTTTTCTGCATTATTCTTTGTTGCAGTCTAAAGTGTACACCTGTACTCAGTTTTGCCGAAAGGCAGTCACATATTGTGATCAACGATGAAAATCAGACAGGGAGCCAAATTATATTGCTCTGACATCTGTCCCTCCATCTGTTAGAATTTAACACACAGTATAAAGTAGATATCTGATTATATCAAAGCTCTTATTCTTACATATGACTGAGAATAATTTTTATATGATCAAGTCTCCACAAATTCTGTTTTATTAAAAATAAAGCAGAAGGGAAGGTACTAAATTTAACTTTTAATCATTGAACATTATTTCTGTACTACTCCTTCTTATAGGATCAAAACATGTAAAACAAAATACTCTCTTCTTGTCTGCCTAAGTTAGCAAGTATTTTGTTCTTTCTTATAAACTCCTTTGCCCCCTTAGGCAGGATAAACATCTCCTATAATGTGATTGCAACATACTTTTTCCATGGTGAACTTTCTAAATCCAAGGAGTTGAACATGCTTTTTAATTACTTTGAATAATTATTTTCATAAATATTAAATTATCATTTTTTGCTCAATAATAAGAAAACAAGTTTAAAAGTTATCTATTAAAAAAAAAAAACTTGAAGAGTTGTCAACTCGTATTTGATCAACAACAGCCTTATCTGATCAATGTGTGTCTGGAGAAGAAACTCAGTCAAAGCCCCTTCTTTTAAATTGGAAACTCAGAGGTTCAGGCATGATCTTGTGTTAACTGAACTAGGGCATAATAGCCAGGAGCTGGACAGAAACTAAATTTTGTGGTATTGAGTATGACAACCATCACACATTTCCTTTGCTGTCAGGAGGCACCCTAACGTGAGCAAGAAAATTAATTCTGAAAAGCAAAAGACTCATGCAATACACATAGGTAATCCAGTAACAAGAACCACCCAAAAATGCATATAGCCAACCTGGAGACAAAGAAATCTGCAGAAACGTCCAGCCTCCTATCAGATAAAGAAGTATGTCAAATCCCAATGATGAAGTTTGCTATTAAATTCTCATTTACAAATCTACATATGCTTGCTGACCCTTTTTCTAATCATTGCAATATATAAATATTTCTTCTCTCTCATCCTGGCTCGAAAAGTCTACAATTTCTATTTTCATTTTTGCCATATGTAGTAGCAGAATATTGCCACAGGGTGGTACACCACGCATATTTAACGGAAAGCTTCCGTAATATATGTGACAGTTGAGTTATACCCTTTTTTCAGCTTCACTTAACCAAGAGGCATCAGAATAACTGGCAGCTCTCTGAGTGATTAAAATTAAACCAAAACCTTAAATCATGCAAGTCTGCTAATCTCATATTATGCCTAACTGTATTATACCTTGCAAGCTTTGTTCATTGTTCATCCTTTTGGCAATTTCCAAAAACAAAACTAAACAAACTAAAATTGGGAAGAAAAATGCAAAGAGGAAACTTATAAAGAATATACACCATACGAACTAAACTATACAGAAATAGCTAAGTTGTACTGACAATTCACAGAAATTGCAGTTAGCTACTATCATAAAGAGAATGAATATATCTGTATCTATGTGATAACATATCCATCTATTGACCCATCTAAATGCATGACACACAATAATAATAGCATATGGTAAGTGGTTTAATATATGATTACTATATTACTGTTAAATATTTATATTTTTAATATTAATCACAGAACTAGTAAGTTGATGTACCTCCTTTTTAAGATAAATAACCAAAATCAGATTTCAATTTTGGATTTCACAAAACAACCCCTCTTTTTCCTAGGAGGTTTTAGGCAAACTGAATTGAACTATTTCAGGAATAAAAAAGGAAAACAATAAATATTCATAGCTTAAAAATAGATGCCAGGTACTTTTAGGCTAAATATGTAATAAAGGAATGTTATTTGTAGCAGGTGAGGACAATGGAAAAACTCATCAGTATTTTTTCATATTGATTTTTAGCTCCATTGTTGAAAATAAGTGACAATGGGTGCAGTGACTAAAGCATTTGTCTGAAACACTGGGTCGATGGAAGAATAAGCTTAGAACTATTTGTTCTGCTATTTATTCCTTTAGCCTGTTCTGCAGATCAACTGGGACGGCTATTACCCTTCAGTTTTCTTTGAATCCTCATTCCTTTTATTTTATAGGGTGAGAAAAAGAAAAATAAAATGTAGGTTTGCCTCCTATTAGAAAAAGAGAGGTGGCACCTGCTCAGAACTTCAATAGGCCCAGCTAAGCTATAATAGCAAATTGGTAAATGAATCCTCTGCAGTTGGTTAGGTCCTAGCCAAAGGTAAGTACTTTTTCTATTAGGGTACACTTCCAGAAACACTGGTGTACCTTAGGTGATTGAAAGTCAGCTTACTTTTCAGAGAGGATATTGCCTCTTTTGTAAGTTGACTGAAGTGAAATGAACAGGCTAACTTAAGTCTCACCCAGTTGGGTCAGGGAAGTTGCAACTAATAGCTTAGCTTGCCTCAAATGCTATTTCTTACCATGGATATTAGCACTAGAAGCCATAGGTATGTCTAATTCACGCCTCTTTTACTGTCTAATGTTCTGAAGTTAAAAACTGGGCAAAAAAGACAGCAGTTATTGTCTATAATACATCTTAGGCTCATACTCTAGAGGATACTAAAGATTCAAGTTTCTATTCCTGCAATATACTTAAGAGCTGTGTCCTTTCAGAATCAAGCTCTTTGAAAAACATTAAGAGCTCATTAGTAATCCATGTCAGGTATGGCTGCTCAGCTTGCAAACAGAGTTTACTTCAGTAGGGTATGCATTATGTTTCAATGGTCAGCACAGGTTTGAGGTCAACATTTAATACAATTTTCATCTCAGGGAGTTGGCTGTTGGGGTTTTAGAATCCTACCTCTCTCACATGACCTGCCAAGATAGCCTGTTCCGGAACAATCACAGACATATCTGTTCCACCCATCCCTGCACATGCCATTGTTTTTGCAAGGGTTGCTAAGGCACGGTTTTGCTGTTTCCCTTGAGCAGGAGGGCTTCACTCCAGCTGTACTTTGAACTTCAGCCATTTGCCGGATATCTTTGCTTTGGCCATCGATGAACAAATCCCTGATGCAGCCCACGTAGCCATAGTTGAGCAGAGCAGTCCACACCTCGGTGGGGAAGACAAGGCCAGCTTTATTTTCTGGCAGGCCCCCCAGGTACAACTCATCATCCAGGTCCAGAATCTCACTCTCACCAGGAGCAGTGTAGGGAGTACGCAATGTGTTGACAGAAATGGTACCTATTGCAAAGAGAGGACAATGCACAAGTCTTTAAAAAGCACCAATGTGTTACAATTATCTTTCTGTCTTTCATCTGCTTAATGGTTAACTCTTTGGAGGCAGAGAAATATTATTATTCTTTCTATCCTCACTTTCTGGTATTTCCTAGAGAAATTAAGAAACCCATGGTATGAAGAAACTTTAGAAATAAAAGAGACTAAATGGTTCCATTTGAACTTGAGAATGAAAACCAAAGTGTACAGCCAACAAATAGTGTTTGAGAGCCTCTAACAGTTCAGCCAATGCATGTATACATACATTAAAAATAAAGAAACTATCATTCTATATCAGCCTCTAGAAGAAAGTCAGATTCCTCTTGGTTAGTGCTTGCTTTCAAAGCTAATATCCAACTGCAAACCAAGGAAAGATTTTATGTTCCTATTTTAACTGACTTGATTACTCTGATTGAGCGCAGTAGTTTCACAGATTACCTGTGTTAAAATCTGACTTCATCACTCCTCGCTGTATGAACCTATTGATTAACTTACAGAGTTTTGTTTCTCTTATTCATAATATGGGCATAATAATATTATCTACCTCATAGGGTTGCTCTTATTGTTAAATAAAATAATACTAGTAATGTACATGGTTTATAATAAATACTGTATAAATGTTTGTTGTTGTATTTCAGTGAAATAATCAAGTAAAATCAGTTGCTTCCTTATTTTTAAACCAACCTAGTGATTTATTTAAATTAACGAGGATTTCTTTTTCTCACTCCAAATGTTAAGGAGAAAAAATCTGTTGGTTTATAAATACAAAGGGCTCTAAGTCCTAAGTATGGAATAACCAGGTATTCATCTACATGGGATCATTTGAGGGTCACAGAAAAATATTAGTGGAACCCATGAACAAAAAGAAAGATAGAAAGCACATTCCTGATCAAAACGTGCATGCATACTGCAGATTACCAAAAATTCCACTGATATTCTATCTTCAGAAAGACCTTTGTACAAATGCAACTATGATGCCTGGACAGAACACTACAAGGCCCCACAACCACATTATCCCAGATTTATTTTTCAGCTCCAGATTATAAGGCAGGATAGCAAGAGTCTGATGAGAGAGAGAGAGGATGAAAAAAGGTGTGATAGTATGCTGGGGCATGGGCATAGAACCTCAGGTATTTAGGGAAGAGACACAAGAGAGATCTGGAGATGGGAGGGGTGATACAGAAGTAAGGACAAAAGAGGAAGTAGGGGGTGAGTAGGGTGTGTGTAGGGAGATGCATTTTAGTTGCTACACAGAATACCAAAGGCCCGCCCCAAGTGAAAACACATATCTAACTAAGGATGTAAGGCTGCGGGCCCCGATGTTGTGCCCAGGAGTATTCCAAATCCCAGCAGAAGGGCCCCCTTCAATCTGTGCAGTGTAATGGGATCTGTCTTTGTGAGGGAGAAGGGCATGGAAGCCACTGACAAAGACTGCTCAGGTGGCCGAGTCATTAAGAGGATATTTGGCTCTCTAGACTTTCAGAGAAAGAAAAGGGAAAAGCTCCTAGGGGAGAAACACTCAAAGGCATTGCTATTTTGGCCTTCCAATGAGGGGAGCAAAATAGAGATTTCCTAGGGAAGCAGCTAAAAGGGAAAAGGACAAAGTATTCATTTTTATTGTTCACATTTGTACAAGTGTCTAGAAGAAAACTCTCATTTAGGAACATATGGGAACCATCAAATCCTATTTAGAAAAATATAAAGCATGGCATTTTGGGGAAATACAATTTATAATATTGAGAGGGAATGGTGACTCTTTTCTATTTCAAAAGGAATGATCATTACATGCATTTTTAAAGCATCATTTTGTATACAGCACTATTCAAAATACCTACGAAGTGAATAAACAGATGGTCCCTATCCTCTGCAGTAGCTAATGAAAGTTAGAATATGATGAGAAAGAGTGTCTTTTAATGACAAAAGGAAAGGTGGGCACTTTAAAAAAAGAAAATATTATCACGGAAAGCAAAGAGTTACATGCAATGAACAAAGTGTCATGTACTTTTTTTTTTTTTTTTTTTTTCTGAGACAGAGTCTTACTCTGTCACACAAGCTGGAGTGCAGTGGCAGGATCTTGGCTCACTACAAACTCTGCCTCCTGCTTTAAACAATTCTCGTACCTCAGCCTCCCAAGTAGCTGGGATTACAGGTTTACGCCATCACGGCCAACTAATTTTTGTATTTTTAGTACAGATGGAGTTTCGCAATGTTGGCCAGGCTCATCTTGAATTCATGGCCTCAAGTGATCCACCCACCTTGGCCTCCCAAAGTGTTGGGATTACAGGCGTGAGCCACCGCACCCAGCCAATGTGACATGCTCTTAAATAAAAGGGAGAGGGATACTACTCTATTTTCCAATTAGTTCAATAAGGCTTCCTAAAAGCAGTAGAATTTTTGAGGATTTGATGAAATGACACAGAACTTAGCAAAGGAACAATGACTAATTATTCCAAGTATGGTGATATATTCCAATATACACATACATATATATATGTGTATATATATACACACACACACATATATATATAACATATATGTATTCCCATATGCTTTTTTTAATTCAGCTCAGAAGGGGAAAAAAAAGCCCTTGGAAAGGCTGTACTGTCCTTACTCAGGGTATTGTAATTCTGACACTAAGAGAACTCCTGGAGGACTCCTGAGACAAAGAAATTCATTGGCTTCCACAGCTCACTTTCTCCCCCTATTCCATGTAGTTTCCATACCTTGGTGCACTGTGTCTGCACTCACTCTCAGGGGCAGAACTGCTGCCAGGTGGTTCAGACAATCATTCTTGACAGTTTGTCTGACAGTAAGGTTGGAGTAATTGTGTCTCTTGATTTTTATTTATGGTGTGTTAGTGCTTGCTTTGAGCAAAGTATTGTAAGAAAGTTCAAATAAGTTATTTTATTAATGTGCTTGATGATATAGACAGGGTAAGATTTTTACAGTAACTTTATCATTAGACTACAGTTTTCTGAACACAGTCATAAAGAACACAATTTTCAAATATCCCAGTGCACACTTACACATACACACACACACACACACACATACACACTGAAACAAATGTTTAAAAGAAAAAAAAAATAACTCTATGGCCTCTGAAGCACGTTGATATTTTATGTCTCATTATGTCATTTTATTAAAACAAATGCTGGACCATCAATGGATTTTCGCACCAGCTAAAATGTTGTAACCCACGGTACAAAAAAATAACTAAATAAAAAACAAAAACAGATTTAAGATTTAAGGGCTACTATCATAAAGAGTAAGTTTTTCCCATAGTTCCTTATTGTCCCTTTGACAGACAATTTTAGAGTTCTCATAGAAAGAACAAGCAGGCCAGGCATGGTGACTCATGCCTGTAATCCCAGCACTTTGGGAGACTGAGGTGGATGGATCACCTGAGGTTGGGAGTTTGAGACCAGCCTGACCAACATGGAGAAACTCCATCTCTACTAAAAATACAAAATTAGACGGGCACGGTGGTGCATGCCTGTAATCTCAGCTACTCGGGAGACTGAGGCAGGAGAATCGCTTGAACCCAGGAGGCAGAGGCTGCAGTGAGCCGAGATCGCACCACTGCACTCCAGCCTGGGCAGCAAGAGCAAAACTCCACCAGAAAGAAAGAGAGAGAGAGAGAGACAGAACAAGCAACAAAACATGCGACAGAAAGAAAAGGGAATTTAATACTGCCTTTAACTCAAACATAATCCAAGAAAGACTAGAACTTACATTGAGCTCTGGATTCAAAGTTAAGGAGACACATCAGGCAAATGGATGGATCAGATATCAGTCACTGGAATATTATGCAAATAGACACCATAGGATGAAGAAAATAGGGCTGAAAATCAAGTACTATTTTATCAATATGCTTTGCTAATCTATATGAACTTGTATTTTAGAAAATCTTTGTAAAAGAGATGGCAAATAATCAGAAAGTAAAGAATTTAATTCAAGTGGGATGGAAACAATTATTTTTATATTTTGAAAATTCATGGAGTAAACATGGTTTGAATTAATAATTAAATTTTATTACTGAGAGAAACACAAATAGAAGTTTATATTTTAGCTTAAACATGTGTCCTGAAATAGGTACATTTCCAAAAAGGGATTTGAATCCCAGATCTCCTTAATGATTTTTACTATGGATATGAATCAAAGGACATATTCACCTAGCAAAAGAGTCATCACAGAATCTGAATTAGTTTAAACCGATTTAACTCATACATATAAGCATAGTGAAATTTAAATATTAAGGTTCCCGTGTGCTTATTTTATTATAATTGAGTTATAAAATCAGTGGTTACAAAGAACATATCAAATTAATATTTAAACCTGGTTCATTGATAATTGAAGAAAATTGAGTAGTTGCCAAACTCTATACATCAATGGAAAAGGAGAATTTTCCAAAGGCAAAGGTAAATAAATGTTTAAATACATTTTTAAGAGAAAACAAAAATCTGAATATATTAATGGGTCATCCCTCTATCTTTTTCCAGGAACCACAAATATTGACATATTCTTTTTTAAATAGTTGGATTCTTTCATACATTCTACCCCTTCTACTATATTTATGTTTGAAGTTTCTGGTAAATTAACTAAACGTTTTATGTAAATATTGTTACATTAAGGCTGCCAAAATTGGGGAACAGTAGTCATATTTGAGAAATTATCTAGATCAAGTTTTCATGCTTCACTATTTAAGAATCCAAAGCACCCTGCTATGCTATTTTAACTTTTAAACAAATGAGATCACAACTAAAAACTAAATTATTTGTGGACATACAACTTTTATAATTTTAATGTAGAAACTGCATTACATTATATTCTTACATTTAAAGCTGTTTTTTCATGACATATGCAAGAGGTAAAATGAAGTTGATAAGCAGACAAGGTAATATTTAAGAATATTCATAAACAAGTAATAAATTTATCTTTCATGTAAAATCATATGCAAAAGTTAA